CTAAGATTTTGGAAACATCAAGAGGGTCATCATATTTCATAAAAATTGTAAGTATTCAGGTTCAACAGAGAGATACAAAAAACAATATAAATTGTGACTGACGAGTAACTTTCATAATTTTGGACTTGTAACTTGATATAATATACTATATTATATTTATACTCTATATACCTACATACAAAATATAAAATACAACATTTTTATTTTAGATTCTGAATGGAACGATGAATCTATTGATTTTACAATGATGTGTTTTTTTTTTTTTTTTGTGTCCGTGTACAAGTTTAGTAGTCGAAATAATGCTTTCAACTTCAGTATCTTGTTCGATGGGAAAGTGAATCTAGTTGGTACTTTTGGGAGGTCAAAATTTAAAATTCAAAATAGTTTTCAAAAGCACCCGGAAAAACAAAATAAAAATTAAGGTCAAGCAGGAATTTTTACGCAAAATAGGTTTTTAACAAAATAGATTTTTTTTGTAATTCTTAAACAAAAGAATTATATTCATGAAATTTTAACTGGTTGTTTATATTTCTATACACGTTGTTTTGCACTGTTTAAGGACATTTTCAGTTTACAATTTTACTAGTTTTTTTCCTATGAATGCCAATAGTTTTTATTTGTTGTATTTGTTGGGTGAAAAAGCTTGAAAAACAAGGCTCTTACTATATTGTTACAATGACGTTTGAAAATTATTAAAAATACTTAGTCTCAATTTTTTTTTATAAGCATTTAAAGTTCGAATCTTGACAAAATACTGAAAAATCACGAAAATTAGCAAATTATTTTATGTTGAGAATTCATAAAAACTTTTAGATTCTGAGCGGAGCGATGAATGTATTGGTTTTACAATGATGTATGTTTTTTTTTATATTTTTATATTTTTGTGTCTGTCATCACGTTTTATTTTTTTTTAAATCTAAGATTTAAAAATATAACACAAGGTTATTCATAAGTTTTACTACCTTTATCAAAAAAAAAATTGACAACAAGCAAATCAAATTACATTTTTATAAGTGTTTGGAGTTCATATTTTAACAATATTTAATATTCACTCGAATGCTCATGTAGCGGTTTTGTTATTTTGTTGTTGTTCAAAAACTGTAGATACCTACATGAAAATTTTACTGAATGTTTATATTTTCATTTTCTATACACCATACAATTTTGACTCTTTTTGAGCTGTTTACGGATATTGTCGGTTTTCAATTTTTTTAGTTTTTTTTTCTATAAATATCAATAAAATTTTATTTCTTTTGTAAAAAAGCGTGAAAATTTAATGCAAGGCTCCTGATATATTCTTACAATAGCAGTTGAAAAATATTAAAAATTCATAGGCACAGTTTTTTTTATAAGCATTTAAAGTTCGAATTTGGACAAAATTTATAAAATTTAAAATTGAATAATTATTTGACGGAGTATGCCCAACAATTTGCCTCAATAATCAATCACTTCCTCCTTCACAGTGTATACGTTACCTTGGTATTCTTAATGACCGCCGCCTCACCTGGAAACCTCACATAATTAGCAAAACCCGTACACTTAATGACCGCTTCCGACCCCTTCGACCGCTTCTAACATCAGAGCACATGAAACTTTCCAATAACATCCTGCTTTACAAACTCCAACTCAGACCTATCTGGACTTATGGGATTCAACTATGGGGCGCTGCCAAAATTTCCAACATCAACCACATTCAAAGATTCCAATCCAAAACTCTACGTACAGTTCTAAAAGCACCATTCTATGTGTCTAACCACACTCTCCACTTTGATCCCAAAATACCATTTGTCTCTGAACTAGCTAAAACTCACTACAAACGTTTCAATAGCCACCTAGCCAACCATGAGAATCCCTTAATCTCCGATCTATCATCTGCTTCCATCCCAGGTAACCCAATCAAAAGACTTAAAAGACAGTGGAGTCGTGACCTGCTAGCCTAATTAAAATCATACTCATGTCGTAGTACCTCCGCTGGGAGGCCTCTGCACTCCGTCCGGTCTGTCTTTTATTTTATTTTTATTCTTTTACTAAACATCAATTGTTCTTATTGTTCTTACTGTAACAGATTGAATAAAAAACACATAAATCAAAAAAAAATTCTTATTTTGGAGCTAAAAATTAATAAAATGTTCAACTTTTATAGTTAAGGATTGAAAATTTAAAACAAGGCAAACAGTTTATTTATAAATTACTTTATCCACAATAATATCAACAAATATACTTAGTAAGACTATTGGCTAACTAACCGTTTTCGCTCAGAATAGTTTTTCTTATACTATGATATTTATCATTGAATTCAATTTTAACACCATCCATTACAGTGATCCCCAGGTTACCCCTACTGTACAGCAGAGCGACATCCACTTACCCACCTTTTTTTTTTTTTTTTGATAGTGAAGAATTTCATTTGTTCTAATATACAAATGTATATTTCTAATATTAATGTTTATTTCTGATATATTTCAACTCAAATTATGAATATCTTAATGTAATAATTGCGATTTAAGCGGAGCAACAATGTATTGACTTTACAATGATGAGTGTTTGTATCTGTAAACACCTTTCTTTGCATAGTAAGATTAGATTATCAAAATGTTCAACTGCATTATTTCTAGTACAAAAGTGTATCAACTTAGTGTTTTTTTTTATAGGAGATGGGTGTATTTTGTTGTAACTCATAAACTATTAAGTATTAACCATAGATACTTGAAAGCTTAAATGTTCACTATATATTTATATAATAATTTTTTTTACATGCAATAATTATTAATTTTACTTTTTTTTACCATTTATAATTATAAACATTTGAAGTTTTAGATTTTTATCTATCTACTAATGTTTATAAGACATTTTCTCATCATAAAAATGCTTGAAAATAAAATGCAAGATTTCGTATAAGTTTTATTATATACACTTCAAAATCTTAAAAATACGTAAAAAAGAATTTTTTTCAATTAATTGAAATTTAAATTTCTAAAATATTCGTCAAAATCACGAAAACTTATAAATTAATAATTATAGTCTAACAACTATAAAATATTCAATTTTTCAGCTAATACTTTAAAATTAAAGTTAGGTTTCATAAAAAAATAAAAAATTCTAGAAAATATAAATAGACCTTTACAGTTCAAGTATAGACAAAATTACATTTTAAACCGAAGAATAACATTGTTAGTTACTTGGTTGTAATTCAAAAGTTGTATTTGTGCGAACTTGTATAAATAAAAGAGTGACTACTAATTGTGAATACGCTGATACCATAGGTACAAACATCGAACATACACCTTTAAACTGCATTAATTACTTCCGTTTTAATATATTTACTATTAGAACCTACTATCTAGTACCAGCTACCTAATCAAACCAAATTATTATTTTCATATTTTTATTGATAAATATTTGCATAACCATGAACTAAATTCAATATGTACAACATACAATTATAATTTAAAACTGTACATTTACAAATATTGAATCAACATTCATTTAAAATCAATCTTTCAGCATTCGTCTCCATCAAACATGATAAAGACGTGTGGAATTTCATTAAACTTCTTTTTATTTATCGGATGCTTTTTGACATGTTCAGCATCTAATACGCCTCGAGTGCATGTAAACTCTGGAGAAATTGCAGGTGGACTTCAATACACCTATAATGGCCGACAAATTTATTCCTTCTTAGGCATACCTTATGCAAGTCCCCCAGTTCAAAATTATCGATTTAAAGTATGTTAAGAATAATTGTTATATTTGAAGACAATTGAAAATCAAAACAAATTGAAAATTCTTTTCTCAGGAAACACAACCCGTAAAGCCTTGGTTGGGCGTATGGAACGCCACCATTCCTGGAAGTGGCTGTTTCGGACCAAATTTAGGGCAAGATATTGGATCTGGTTTAAAACTTGTTGGTCAAGAAGATTGTTTATATCTCAACGTGTATACGCCTAAGGTGATTGAAAAATTCATATATTTATTTTGTATATATATATAAAAATTCTTATTCGATATAATTGTCAGTAAATATTATATATTTTACCAATAAGGCAAAAAAACCTATTCTATCTAAATATAAAATTGACGAACAACTTATAATTATTATATTATATTAAAGGAAAAGTGTGTAGTTGAGGTTTGTGTAAGTACACTTAAAAAAAATATAGTCGATTGATTGGACAAGAAAACATTTGAGATTATTTTAACAGAAGCAAAACAGAAACGATAGTTTGATAAATTATGTGTATATATTTGTAAGATAGTCAGGTTCCATCTAAATAACGCATTACAAATACACAACTGTGTACACATTAATATTTGGTATCCCGGGTGGGCCGTAAGTGTAAGCAAGCATCAGCTAACAACTAGCAGCTATTTTGTTATATAAACAAATTATGAAAGCTCACTTTACGTACTTTAAACAAGTGCAATCAAATATAATTCCATATCATTCAATTTTAAAATGTATTTAGCAATCTTTATATTTTGTTAAGTACTTATTTTTTAATATTGGATTCAAAGAAATAGGTACTCATATTTTGAAATTTTTTAATATTAGCTAGTATGAATTTACTATTTTAATTAAACCACAGTTATAAAATCGTAATACATACAATCGTATTTATATAGTTTCAACTAATGGACGTACATAACAGGGATTATAATATAAGAAACTAGAAACTTTTATTTAGAAACCTAAAAGTGTATCGCTGAGGCTCATAGAATCAAATAATACTTGAAAGATGTTCACGATTTAAGGAAGGTTTTAATAATAGAATAAACTGGTTATTTTAATGACTATTATCAAATACAATTATTGTTATTTATACTGTGATTTATAATAATTGATCTTAACTCTATATCCTAATGACAGTAAATACCCTAGCTCCCAAATATATATCATCATTGAATATTTTGAAATGTACATAAAAATGTAATTTCATTCTTTAAACAGCTTCCACAAGATAATACGCCAGGTAAGTTAATGAACGTAGTGGTGCACATACATGGTGGTGGGTTCGTTGGTTGCATTTGGTGGTGACCCAAACAGTGTAACAATCACTGGCATGTCATCTGGTGCAAGTTCTGTGCATTACCATTTGATTTCACCAATGTCTAAAGGTATGAGTAATGGTGTAATCTTTAATGTTATTTGAAACAACTAAAAATTAAATTGTACTTTATCGTAATCCGTACAAATAAAATGTGACCAAATAAATTGAAATTTTAAAGTTAAATTATTATTTGCACAAGCCCCAATCACTTTCGTTTTGTACAGGTAAATCATTATTTCAAAATACATATTTTATTCAAAAGTAGGTAATGTTTGTATTCAATATTAAAATATGTACTTAAGTATGTTTAATACCATATTATATTGGTATTTAATATAGGCAATTTGTCTCGATAAAATGTACAAAACCTGCCGTTAATCGCACGATGGTCAATATGACCATACTTTTTTTTACATATTTAATAAAACATATCCATTTTCAACTCAATCATTCATACTAAATATAGCTTTTAAAAATATTATTAAAAATTATATATTAATATTATTCATACATGATACATATTATTACTTATATTATTCATAATATACCTATAAAGTCAAATAAAACTCGTTTTTAAATATAATCCATTTAAAGAGAACTTTTTTGTAACTGTTTTCAATTTTTTTTCATAAAATTAATAAAAGTGTATAAGATAACTTTTTTTATTCTTGAAAATTATACCGCAGTTAAAAAGTCCGGGGTGCATAAACTAATAACATAGGTAATAATAATCGATGGCTCGACTACAACATCGAACTGGCTAACTAATAGTTGATAAACCATGGCTATCGATACATTTTAATTGAATTCATCTAGATTTATATATATTTTGTCATAAAAGTTTAACATACAGTCCGACTATCGCATCTCAAGGGGAATAAAAATATATGGACTTATGTAGTTTTGAGTTAGGTGTATAAATCCATCAAATACAACTTATAAAGCACAAAGTGTAAGTTATAATAGTTTTCCAATTTATTATGATTCTAGAAAAAATGGGTTCAATTATTTACTTACATAGGTACCAAAATCTTAATTCGAATCCAACACGAGTTTGTTACAATGGGGGATTGATTAGAACAATTTATACACTTAATATGTAATCTATAAACCACTGAAAATGGTATATTTTTTCGATTATATATTTAATTGAACGGTTATAGTATTACTTTTTTACAAGAAACAAGGTTAGTTTAAACTACCATTGGATATGCGTAATATGACCTTCATTATTACTTCCTCAATTAATGTTTAAAAGTTCACGTTCAACTTCGTTAGATCTAGCTCATTGATAAACTTAAATATGACAATATTGTCTATGTTTTTCAATATTTTAATTTTGGGACAAGGAATGTTGATTTTTACCATATAATATTTTACATTTAAATTCACATTTATATTTTAACTATGGTTTATAAATATTTTTACATTTTAAGGTTTATTTAATCGAGCAATTCTTCAAAGTGGAAGCGCATTTTGTCATTGGTCATATACTGAAAATGTTGATCAAAAAACAAAGTTTGTTGCAAACATGCTGGGATGTCCAACAAATAATTCCTTGGAAATCGTCGAATGTCTTCGTTCTAGACCAGGAAAGGACATTATTCAATCAATTATAAACTTCATGGTAAATATTTTTGTTCATAATTAAGTAATAAATACAATATATTCTGAAATTATATTTTAATTCTAATGTATATAGCCATGGAAATATAGTCCCTTTGCACCATTTGGTCCAACTATTGAAGTAGAAGGAGACGAAAAATTCTTACCTGATATCCCAGAAAAACTCGTTCCATATGACATTCCAGTACTGATTAGTGTAGGCCAAGAGGAGGGTCTTATTATAGCAATATTTATTGGCTTAGAAAATGGTTTTAATGAACTAAACAATAATTGGAATGAATATTTACCACATCTTCTTGATTACAATTACACGATTTCAAACGAGAATATGAGGTCCAAAATTGCACAAGATATAAAAGCGTTTTACTTTGGTGACAAACCAATATCAAAAGAAACAAAAAGCAATCTTGCAAAAGTAAGTTTATTCCAATGTTTGAAAAATATTTTGAACGTTTTTAATATTTATTTATTTTTTAAGATATAAATAAATTTATTACACCACCTACGTTAATTACTATTTTAATAAACTCATTCAAATAGATCAAATGTATAAAGAATTGACAAATTTAAAATTTACACGATTATTGGTTATTTGTGGGTTAAAGCATATTATTATGTTTATTATTTTTAATAATTTTTTTAGAAGGTACCCGTAGTTAGTAAAGTTCTATAGTAGTGTAGATAAGTGATTGATTTCATATGAACTAATTAATTCAAATAACTCAATGAGAATGTATATAATTATTATTTATTATCTTATTCAAACCCAGAACGGCCAGAACTGAACAATACAAAAAAAAAGAATAATAGGCATGTAATAAGTAAAGACAAAATATAACAAACGACGCTGGTTTGATACCTCGGCCATGGGCTGTATTTTTCTTAGGGCAAGTCACGGTGTCCGAAGAACAAGTGCCGTAATCTCCCATCAGGACATGGAAGATACCTACGGGTTCCCAAATCAAAAAATTCTGTCAAAACAAACCTACCAACAAAAACCTACAAACAATAAAATTGCTAATGGCCTAAGCTGATGGGCTCAAGATCAATGAAAAAAATAAAAAATAAAAAATATAACAAAATATTAATGACAAAATATGAATTTAAAATATTTTTGTTATTAATATATTCTACTTTAGTATATTTTTGTATTTAAAGAAATGTTTAAGTCACATTTTTGCAAAATATGAGTGTTTATAGTGCATATTTTTCTAGTTTTCAATGCACAGTTGCACAACTATGCACTTGTTATAATGTTTTTTATTTTTACTGCATTAAATAATAATCTAAATATCTAATCTCAACATTCTTCAGATGATATCGGATAGAACATTTGGATATGGTATGAGCAAAGCAGCCCAGCATATTGCTGCAAGGAATGCGGCACCTGTATATTTCAATGAATTTGGTTACAGTGGTAATTATTCTCCCATAGCTATGTTCGATCCAAAATCTTATTCCCGAGGATCAAGTAAATAAAATATTTAATTTTCCACTTTTTATTTATATGTGTAACTGTAACACATATTTATTAATTCGTTTTAACTAATAAACAATAAGCCACATCTCATGGTGAAGAAGCCTTCTATATATTTAAAATTAATGGTTTTCCTGTTCACGACAATGAAGAAGATGCAAAGATGATGAAAACTATAGTTAATATTTGGTCAACCTTTATTCAAAACGGGTAAATATCTAATTTTTAACGTCAAATCTATCATTGTTATCAATAAAATTGAAATCTAATTAATAACTTAATTCTAGTCCATGCTCTATGTATAACTAAATAAAAAAATGCAGATTTTAAATTTATATTTTTTTTATACTCAATTTAATTAGTCATCAACGAGTTATCACTCGATAGCTATATAGTGTTTATACTTTATAATTTTATTTTTACATTTATAGAGTTCCAGATATTGGAAATTCAGAAATTTGGTCACCTGTTTCCAAGAATCCAGCAGATCCTCTCAGGTACATTAAGATTACTCAACAACAAACATTTGAAGCCAGAGAACATTCGAACCATGGAAATTTTGAATTTTGGAGTAGATTACCATTAACAGAGTATTATAATATTAATGTGCCAGAATACGTAAAAACTGAATTATAAATTGCAAAAATGTGTTCATCACAGTAATAGTTTTAAATATATTTTATAATAATATTATATGAACATAAAATTTTAAATTCTATATATATTTTTAAATAAAAAAGTTGTTGATATTAATGAAGATTGAACATTTTATTTTTATATTCTGGGTGAAAGGATTAATTAACCAATTTTACAATAATGTTTTGTTTTTTTTTTTTTTTTAAATATTTTTTAATTTGTTTTGTTAAAAAAATAATTACGTCTTTACAGAACTCACATATTTTCATCATGAATTTAGATACCGATAACTCTGACTATTATGCCTCATGTTTTATCTTCTAGACTCTAGAATCTAGACAGTAACAATTTCTTTATTCATCCACAATTTACTCAATTTTTTCAAAAAATTTTTTTTTTTGATAAAAGTAGACAAACTTATAAGGAATCTTATATTACATTTTCATATATTAGATTTAAAATGAAAAAATTGTATGAATTCTTAAATCAAAATAATTTGATAATTTTCGTGATTTTTCCATGTTTTATTAAGATTTGAAATTTAAACGCTTATAAAATAAACTGTGACTAAGAATTTTTAATATTTTCTAAATGTCAATGTAATAATATAGTAGGAGCCTTGTTTTAAATTTTCAAGTATTTTTACTCAACAAATAAAGTTTTATTGACATTCTTAGAAAAAAAATTAATAAAATTGGAAACTGAAAATGCCCCTAAACAGTTCAAAATAAATGAAAATTTTTGAAAATTTTATCGTGTTTAGAAAATATAAATATAAACAACCAGTTAAAATTCCATGTATATGCGTTCATTTGTTTAAGAGTTACATCCAAAACCAAAATTGATTTTGTCAAAAACCGATTTTGAGTAAAAATTCCCATTTAGCCTTAATTTTTATTTTGTTTTTCAGGGTGCTTTTGAAAACTATTGGGAATTTTAAATTTTGACGCCCAAAAGTACGAACTAGATTTACTTCCCCATCGAACAATATACTAAAGTTGAAAATCAAAGCATTATTTCGACTACTAATCGTGCAAACAGACCAAAAAAAAAAAAAAGGTGGGCAAGTGGGTGTCACTCTGCTGTACAGTAGGTTACAAGTGGGTCACTGTATAATGGATGGTATTACATTTGAATTCAATGATATTATATCATTGTATAAGAAAAACGATTCTGAGCGGAGACGGTGTGTCAGTCTAGGTTTAAGACATATTGTATACATATCTATGTAATTTAAAAAAAATTGACATATAATAGGTACTTATAATAAATTCCAAATTAATCATATCACAATATCCATTAGGTACTTATAACGCGTTATACATCAACAAACCCTGATACTATCATAGATATATAATAGTGTACTTTAGAAATTTCAAGTACCCACGAATAATATTATACAATCATAACAAAATAACTAAAATAGTTATTCTAGGTTTTAGATTCTGAGTGAAACGATGAATGTATTGATTTTACAATGATGTGTGTTTTTTTTTTTTATTTTTTTTTATTTTTTTTTTTATTTTTTTATTTTTTTGTGTCTGTGTACACGATAAGTAGTCGAAATAATGCTTCGATTTTCGACTTCAGTATCTTGTTCGATTGGAAAGTGAATATCGTTGGTGCATTGGGGAGGTCAAAATTTAAATTTCCCAGTAGTTTTCAAGAGCGCCGGGAAAAACAAAAGAAAAATTAAGGAAAAACGGGAATTTTTACGCAAAATCGATTTTTCAGAAAATTGAATTTGGTTTTTGGTGTAACATTAAAACAAATGACCGTAGGCACATGCAATTTTCACTGGTTGTTTATATTTGCATCTTCTATACACGATAACATTTTCAAAATATTTTGATTTATTTTGAACAGTTTAGGGACATTTTCATTTTTAGTTTTTTTTTAGTTTTTTTTCTAGAAATATCAATAAAATTTTATTTGTTGGTTGCGAAAGCTTGAAAATTTAATAGAAGGCTCCTAATATATTGTTTCAAAGGCAGATGAAAAATATTAAAAATCCTTAGTCACAATTTTTTTTTATAAGCATTTAAAGTTCAAAAATTGACAAAATATGGAAAAATCACGAAAATTAGCAAATTATTTTGAGTTAAGAATTCGTAAAAATTTTTCTTTTTAAATCTAAGATTTGAAAATCTAATACAAGATTACTCATAAGATTGCCTACCTTTATCAATAAAAAAATCTCTATAGGAAAGTCAAATTAAATTTTTATGAGCGTTTGAAATTCAAATTTTTACAACATTGGATATTCACTCGATTTCTCATGTGGCAATTTCCTTTTTTTGTTGTAATTAAAAAACGAATTACTGTAGATACATGAAAATTTCACTGAATGTTTATATTAGCATTTCCTATACACCATACAATTTTGAAAATATTTTGACTCTTTTTGAGCCGTTTACGGACATTTTCAGTTTTCAATTTTTTTAGTTTTTTTTTTCTATAAATATCAATTAAGTTTTATCTGTTGAGCCAAAAAGTGTAAAAATTTAATACAAGGCTCCTGATATATTGTTACAATATCAGTTGAAAAATATTAAAAATACATAGGCACAATTTTTTTTTATAAGCATTTTAACATCGAATTTTGACAGAATTTTTCAAAATCTCGAAAATTATTAATCATTGTAATTAATAAATTATAAAATGTTCAGTTTTTATAGCTAAGGATTGAAAATTTAAAACAAGATTCCACGTAAGTAGTTAATTCTCTTACCGAAAAATCTAAAAAATATACAATCACAGTTTATTTTTATAGTCATTTTATGTTCAAATTTGGACGAAATTACATATTAAAAAACCTAGTTATTTTGTTGTGATTATAATATAATATTATTCGTGGGTACCTACTTGAAACTTCTAAAGTGTACTATTATATATATATGATAGTATCAGGGTTTGTTGTTAATGTATAACGTGTTATAAGTACCTAATGGATATTGTGATAATGTGATATGATTAATTTGGAATTTATTATAGGTCAATTTTTTTTTAATACCATAGATATGTATATAATTTGTGTTAACCTAGACTGACATACCGTCTTCGCTCAGAATCGTTTTTCTTATACAATGATATTGTATCATTGAATTCAAATTTAATAGCATCAATTATACAGTGACCCACTTGTAACCTACTGTACAGCAGAGCGACATCCACTTTTTTAATTTGTAATTTCGTCCAAATTTGAACTTAAAATGACTATAAAAATAAACTGTGTTCATATATTTTTTAGGTTTTTTGGTTACAGAATGAACTATGTATGAGAACCTTTGTTTTAAATTTGCAATCCTTAGCTATAAAAACTGAACATTTTATAATTTATAAATTACAATTATTAATAATTTTCTAGATTTTGATAAATTTTGTCAAAATTCGATCTATAAATGCTTATAAAAAAAATTGTGCCTATGTATTTTTAATATTTTCCAATTGCTATTGTAACAATATATCAGGAGCCTTGTATTAAATTTTTACACTTTTGGCCCAACAGATAAAACTTTATTGATATTTATAGAAAAAAAAAACTAAAAAAATTGAAAAATTAAAATGTCCGTTAACAGCTCAGAAACAGTCAAAATATTTTCAAAATTGTATGGTGTATAGGAAATGCTAATATAAACATTCAGTGAAATTTTCATGTATCTACAGTTATTCGTTTTTGAATTACAACAAAATAAGGAAATCGCTACATGAGAAATCGAGTGAATATCCAATATTCTAAAAATTTGAATTTCAAATGCTCATTAAAATTTAATTTGACTTTCTAATAGAAATTTTTTTTCAATAAAGGTAGACAAACTTATGAGGAATCTTGTATTACATTTTAAAACCTTAGATTTAAAAAGAAAAATTTTTACAAATTGTTAACTCAAAATAATTTGCTAATTTTTGTGATTTTTCCATATTTTGTCAATTTATGAACTTTAAATGCTTGGAAAAAAAAACTGTGACTAAGGATTTTTAATATTTTTCATCTGCATTTGAAATAATATCTAGGAGCCTTCTATTAAATTGTCAAGCTTTTTCAGCTAACAAATAAAATTTAATTGATATCTTAAGAAAAAAAAACTAAAAAAAAATGGAAAATTAAAATGTTCCTAAATAAACAACTACTTATTGGTCTCCTTCATCCTCTTTTCCTCTAACGTAAAATTATCCTGGGGTAATAGTATTATTTATTATTATTAATAATAATATTTTAATAATATTAGCACTCGGCAAAATACGAAAATTTAAAGTTTTACTTTTTTTTTTTATTAGGTCCCCTTGCCAACCCGTGATAAGGTACTTCGTTCCAATAATATAGAATAAATATTAAAAATTACCAAAATCTTTATTTTAGACATATTATTTTGTGTGTTGACATGGGATGAGGGCACACAATATATTACCTATTGCTTATTGTCACGTAAAATAGTATGAATTACAATATAATTATTATACTTTAATATTATATTAGGGTCATAAATTATTTATAATGATAGCTCCTATTATTATTCAATATTATATTAATTGCAATCATAGAAATAAAATACAGGTGAAATTACCGAATTAATGGTGACATGGGACGAGGCACACAATATTATATTACCTATTGGTTATTGTCAGGTAAAATCGTATGAATTCCAATATAATTATTATACTTGAATATTATATTGGGGTCATAAATTATTTATAATGATAGCTCCTATTATTATTAAATATTATATTAATTGCCATCATAGAAATAAAATACAGTTGAAATTACCGCATTAAGCCCGACCCTTATAAATTTGTGAGTAATTCACTTTAATTAAAAATGTAATAATAAAATAGCAACATTGTTTATATACTCTTTCCGTATACGATATATTGTAATATACAGGGTGGGTATATTACATAACGGTGATTATCCTTTATATTTATATACGAAAATTGTCCTTTTCGTTTCCACACTCTGTAGTGTTTGACTTTGTGGTTCTATTTTTATTAATAACCAATGG